GGGCAGGGGGCGGGCAGAATCCATGTCCTCGCTCATGTGTATTGCTGGCAGAATTGAGTTTCTTTCTTTTTTTAAATTGAGAAACAGTTGACATATCACTTTGGCAAGGGTAAACTGTCCAACATGTTGATGCGATGTGCGTATACATTGCAATATGATTACCACTATAGCGTTTGCTTTTTTGTGGCGAGAACACTTGAGAGCGACTCTCGTAGCAAAGTTCAGTCACACAACACAGTCCTGTTAGCGATAACCACAGGGGTGCGCGTCAGGCCCCCAGAACTTACCACCTTAGAACCGCCCCCCGCCCCTGGCCACCACCATTCTACTCACTGTGTTTCTAAGTTTGGCTTTTTTCGATTCCACATACAAGTGACATTATACAGCAGTTATCTTTCCACGCCTAACTTATCTCAGCATGACGTCTCCAAGATCCACCCATGTTGCAGCAAATGGCAGGATTTCCTTCTTCCTTGTGAATGCTATTCCTGTGTGTGTGTGTGTGTGTGTGTGTGTGTGTGTGTGTGTGTGATATCTTCTTTATCCATTCATCTAGAGAGGGACACTTAGGGTGTTTCCACACCTTGGCTGTTATGAATAATACTGCAACGAACATGGGAGTGTGGATGGCTCTTGGAGATCCTATTTTCATTTCCTTTAGATAAATGCCTGGAAGTGGAATTGTTGGATCAGATGGTAGTTCTGTTTTGAATTTTTTGAGGAACTCCCATCCTGCTTTCCCACAGGTTTGGTTTCTTGTGGTTGTAGGACTGAGGCACCTGTCTTCTTGTGGCCGTTCGCTGAGGACCCTTTCCAGTTTCCCTCCCTCACTCCTTGGCTCACGGTCCCTTCCTCCATCTTCAAAGCCAGCACCGCAAGAAGTGCCTCGCGAGCTTCTAATCCAGTGGTTCTCAACCTTGGCTGCACATTAGAATCACCTGGGAATCTTTTTAAAATCCTGATTTCTGGGCCTCATCCTCCGGAAATTCTGTTTCTTTCTTATGGGGTGGGGCCACAACATTAGTAACAAAGAAACAGAATTTCCGAAGGATGAGGCCCAGAAATGAGGATTTTAAAAAGATTCCCAGGTGATTATAATGTGCAGCCAAGGTTGCCAGGGACTCAAAAAAAAATCTTTTTCCATTGTTACATCCTGGCCAACCCTTGTGTTTCTTCTTCCCCTTTTAAGGGCTTACATGATTACAATGGGCCCACCCAGATGATCCCCACCTCAAGGTCAGCTGATTAGCAACTTTAGTTCCATCTGCTACCTACTTCCCCTTTGTCAGGTAACCTAAGGTAACCATAGGGTTGGGACAGACATGTTGGGGGCTGTTCTCCTAGCACACCCTCTAGTGGGAGAGGTACAGCTGGGTGCAGTGAACGCTACCAGGTGGAATAAAGTCATGGCCAAGTCGAGGCAATAGCGATGGGCCCTGCAAAAGGAGGAGAAGATCCTCTTTTTGAATTGGATCTATCTATCGACCTACCTATCACCTATCTAGCTATATCCAATTCAATATAGATCCAATTATACATGAGATTATATATGAGAAGAATGGGTAGGAGCCTGAGAAATGGCATTCCAGGTGGAAGGGACAGCATAAGCAAAGACCGGGGGGGAAAGGACGTTGAGAGAGTATAATAGTTTGTTGTGGATGGAGCATCGTGTACATAGAAAGAATAAGGCAGCCCTGCCTCAGATATATATTTAGCTTTTTAATGATATTTGATTTAGGCCAAATCATATCTCTTTCCTGAGCTCACGTCAGCTCAGAGAACCAGAGGGGAGGTAGACGGTTTAAAAAAATGACAAGTGGTGAGGAATAAAACCCTGCCCTGGAAAACCTAGGCCTGAAGGGGATGAGGTGGTGCCCAGGGGCACAGAAAGGGGAAGCACCCATCTTTTCAGACCCACCAGTTTTTTAAAAATATTTTTTACTGATTTCAGAGAGGAAGGGAGAGGGGGAGAGAGATAGAAACATCAATGATGAGAGGGAATCATTGATGGGGTGCCTCCTGCATGCCCCACACTGGGGATCAAGCCCTGACTGGGGATCGAACTTTGACCTCCTGGTTCATAGGTCGACGCTCAACCCCTGAGCCATGCCAGCTGGGCATGCTGACTCACCAGTTTTATGGGTGATTTCACGCTTGCAGCTACTGAATGGGTCATTCAGAGCCTCAACATCTCTGGTTCCCAAGGTGGGAGCTGGTGGGAGTTGCTCAGGTGAGATGGCTGGGAGGAGCTGTCAGCATTCAGGCATCTCTCCCCCAGCCTCCTGTCCCCCAGGGAGCAGCCCCCAAGGCTAGAGAGAGGGCCCAGTGTGGGGGGCAGGTCAGCTGCTCATGCTGGAGCCAGAGTTCAGGCCTCCCCTGTCCGGGCCTGGCCCAGGAAATCAGGTTTTCTAGAGCACCTACCTCCCCTTCCAGGCATAGCAAGCAGAACACCAGCCCGGCTGGAAATGGGCGCTGCTCCTGGCATGGTGTGAGCTGACTTTCAAGTAAGGCTCCACTTTCCTAACAAGTAACCAGCTCTTGGCCAAGCCTTGTCTTTCTTGAAGCCCAGCTGTTATTCGGAGTGGAAACGGGAGCCATTCTTAGGTGTATCCCAGTGTTTCCTGGGTGTCCCGTGGGCACACAAAAGAAAGATGCCACGCCCACAGATAAACTCTTTCTTTCCATAGTTATATCTTTATTTTTACTGTTACCTTCTATTTATGTTCATTGAGGGTGTTCTTCATTTGCTGTAAAAGTTTTAAAAATATGTTTACTCAAATTTCAAATGTGGGTTCATTTTTTAAAAATATCAAGCGCACAGTAATACAGGCTGTTGTGGGTAAGGCCAAGGCCGTGGTGGTGGTATTTGATGGCTGATGTTTGGGGGACGCTAGTCAATTTGACTCACGTGGCTAACCTGTGGGAGAACCTGCGGGCGATGAGCCAGGCACTGTTGGGCGCCGATGCTGGTACAGTGCTTGGTGTGTGTGTGTATGTGAGTGTGTGTGTGTGTGTGTGTGTGTGTGTGTGTGTGTGTGTGTGTCTGCCTCAGGGAGCCCCGTGCACAGCGTGGCCAGGGGCCGCTGACGCTCTCCCTTCTGTGGCCTTCCAGATATCGATGAATGCCGGACCATCCCTGAGGCCTGCCGAGGAGACATGATGTGTGTGAACCAAAACGGCGGGTACCTGTGCATCCCCCGAACAAACCCAGTGTATCGGGGGCCCTACTCGAACCCCTACTCCACCTCCTACTCAGGTCCATACCCAGCAGCTGCCCCTCCGCTCCCGGCTCCAAACTACCCCACGATTTCCAGGCCTCTCATCTGCCGCTTTGGATTCCAGATGGATGAAGGCAACCAGTGTGTGGGTGAGTCGCCCAGCACCTTGGGCCCCTGTCCACTGTGCCCGGCGAAGGCCACGCCCTAATCCAGCAGGTTCACCCCGACAGGTTATTAGCTGCCCTTCCATGCACCTGTGAAACATTGACTTACTTTCTACGTAGTTTTTTCACTCTTAGCAGCATGTCTCTGGGAACCCTCCCACCTAGGAGTAGTTTAGTTTGCTGTGTCATTGACAGTTCTCCAGAAAGCCAATTCATTTACCTACTCATCTATCTATCTATCTATCTATCTATCTATCTATCTATCTATCATCTATCTATCTACTTATCTATCTACCTATTTATCATCTATCCATCTATCTCTTGATATTATCTATTTATCCTCTATCTACTTAAAGACCAGGCTCATATGTTCTCTGTGAAATAAGAAATGCAACTGGTCAAACTTAGTAAGTGAATCCCAGAATGAGATCGAGAAAGGACTAGCGCTTTCTTCCCAACACCCCTCACCCGTGAATGGAATGTATGCTCCTGAAGTAAAAGAAGCCGTGAGGGCCAAGACCACCTGTTCTGGAAAGAAAGTGGGTTCCTTGAGTGGGGACCAATGCCCTTTTGGCCAAAAGGAGCCTTGCTGATGGGAGCTTGTAACAGGAGTAGATCTCTGGGAGAAGGAGTTTGCCATGAGGTCCCAACGTAGCTGGTAAGTGGTGTGATGGGTGCCCTGGTGAGCTGTGGTAGTCCGTTGGCCAGGGTCATCTTGGCAGAGGGTTACCTGGAACCCTCCCTGGTCACTTGGCTGTGGTCAGACCAGAACCTTTGCAATTGTCTCCAGCTTTGGGAAATGGAGTGATGGTGACTCCATGTACCTCATCTACAAAACCTGTTTGTACCTGGAGCCCCATTTTAAGCATATTTATAAGTAATATAAATATCCTGTTTTACTAGGATGGTTTGAGGAGCATAGAGCATACGTAGGAAATAGAAAAATTTAAGGGATGTGATAAAAATTAATGTGAAGTTCTAATATGTCCTTCTGTTACCCCAAAAGTTTAGGAGAACATCGGTCTGCTTAGTGAGATTTTTGTTGGACCCATTTGAGGGTCCTGGAGTGATGAGCTGTAACCAACTGTTAGAGGCTGTGTGGTGATTTTGTAATGTCTTTTATATGTCCATGCAAATGAGTGCATTTATATTTGAATACATGCAAATCACATGCAAACGTGTCCATCAGAGCTACAAGGGAAAATTGGGTACACCTGAAAACCAACTTCTCTGGTCTCAAGAGGTGGGGTACCAGGCGGACGGGGTCAGGGGGGAAGAGCTGGTTGATGGTCACTTGGGATGTAGATGACTGTGCAAAGGGAAA